ACAAAACTGATTTTCAATGGAGAAGATAATAAATCCCACTATGTACAATGAGGTAGCTCCCCCTGAGATATAAGGCCTTCAACAGCTACAAAGGGATCTCGCTGGGTCCTGTCTCGGTTCCACACAGATAAAGGCAGTCTTTTCAAGGCTGTAAGTCACAGTGTGATGCAAAATTATAGATATCTACATAATTCAATGATTGATATTTACCTCACAAATAGTTATGAAGGGCATATTATCTAGCAGAACTTGTCTACTAATTTAGGAAGATAGACTTGGAAAGAAATGTTAAGAATCCTGCATTCCATCTGGGGGAAGAGAAATAGATGATGACCAATGTCCTATAAACATAAACTTTGGTCAAGAATCCATTGAACATAAAATAAAAATTAAAAAATCAGTGGAGCCTAAAGTTATTTTAAGAGTAAGCTGAATATAAATATATATATATATATATATGTATATATATATATATATATTTACTTATATGGATTATAGGTAAGAAACAAAATACATTTGAAATGAGAGTGTAATTGTTTTAATAAGAAATGGCTGAATGTGTAAAGACAGAAATTCTTATTCGAAGTCATTCCAAATTCAAGATAGAGACTTTAATTTAAAAAGATGGAAGTAATAACATTTTGAAAGGACATATTAACTAATGACAACTTGCTGGAAATGTACTTTAACCAGTTAGGCAGATTAATAATGTTGAGGAATGATATCTTTGGGTTAATGATGACAGTTAAAAAAAACTGGTCTCAAATGGCACAGCACATGTGATACTTCACTTAATAGTGATTAGGAACAGCACTGAATTTAAGACATAAAATGTATATAAATTCACATTTTCTAAACAATTATGTACTTTAAACATCATTAGCTTTCAGGCAGACAAATGATAAACAAATGATGATATGTGTATGATAAATTTTAGAAGTATATCAAGGAACTAACATAAAAAATAGAAATGCCGTTATAGTAATAGCTATAAAAAGAACAATATCTACAAGCTTTGGTCAAGGATTCACGTATGTATAGCCATGAGTATGTGTGTTTGTGTGTGTGTGCATATGTGTGAGAACAAAGACAATCTTGATTAAATATTTAATAAATTCATATCATATAGCTATAAGGAAAGTAGAATGCCTTATTGAAAGTTATAAGGAGACTACAACAATACGTGTTTCTTTTTATTTTGAGGGGTAATGGGACTTCTGTACACGACCTCACACTTGCCACACAGTTGTCGTGCCACTAAGCTATGTTCTGACCCCCAGCAGAATATTTAATAAAGTAAATTAATAATGAAACTACACCATGATTTAAATTGACAATTTGTCTACATTGAGAGGAGAGTGTAAGTATAAGCCGTGACCAGCTGTAGGAAATTCTAGAAAGTAACTTCTTAGATCCTCAGTTCCTGTCATACCTAAATGATTCTGATATTCAAGAATTCTTGGAATTTCTTTTTCAGTACTTCTTTAATCAATCAGAAAAACCACTAAGAATATCCCTACAGTTTTTTCACTTAACTAAATATTTCAATCATTGCATACATTTAGGTAATTCTTGAATTCTAAGGTACAACATTTATAATTTTGCTTATGTTCTCTTTCTTTTTCTAGCTAGTGAACATATCTAATAGTATTTTGACATAGATGGATATCAGCAATTTTGACTTCAACACTCCAGATTGAAATAAAAACTTCATAACTCTGTCAATTTGCAATTTTGAAATATAGAAATAATGTACTTCATATGAGAATTGAGCCCAGGAATGAATTCTGTCTCAATATAAAGTCTGATGAAATGCAAGGCTAGTCCATTTATATTGAACCATAAAGATACTGTACCAAATCAACAAAACAACAGCAACAGCAAATACCATGTAATTGGGTTATACTGATCAAGGTAAAATGAAGTTCAAACCCTCCCTCTTAGACCCATTCCTACATTTATCAACTCACATAGTCAGGAAATTATTGTGTATATCTATCTGTGTCTTTCACCCTGTAGTATAAACTCATTTCCTTTTCATGATACTCTGTGATAGGTATCTCAATAAACAAGATGATATTATTTTCCACAAAATGAAAAACAGAAGTTAATAAGGTCATATCAACCATACAGATCACACACAATCACATTCATAATGAAGGACTTTAAGCAGCAAGCACCATAAAACAGGTTGACAGCTATCCTCGCTGTGCTGAAAATACAATATTTTGATAACAATAGCATGCCCAGTTTGCTCAAATAAAAGATGTGAATAGCCACATAGTTCCACATATTGGATGGCAATAATTATGATAAAAGTGCAATACATTTTGTGCAGATCAATAATACTCCTCAAACAATTTACACATTATTTCTGCTTCTTGCTTAAAGAACATCATAACTAGTCTCTGGTATTCACTGTGGAGTAGATAACAAATATTATGTGCTAGTAAACCCATAAAATTGACCTTTTTTACTGCAAGAATGTTAGAGAATTACAAATTACTTCATAGTTTTCAGGTATACATAACTTAATTTGCTGTGATCAACACTGCAATAATCTGCATCTATTTAAATAATTCTAAGTTTCCTGAAAAATTTGAATAAATTCCTTGGGATAGAATGTTACTTCAGAAGCACTATCTTGAGACAATCATTAGATCTTCATCCATTAACTTCAGCTACATGCAAACAGCTAGCATGGCTGAAGAAAGGAGAGTTTTCTTTTTGACTATATATATATATATATATATATATATATATATATATATAAATTCATATATATATATATTTATTTTTATTTTTATTTTTTGGACAGTCTCACTGAATAGCCCAAACTACCTCAGCCTCACCCTCACAGCCATCTTTTGCCTCAACTTCTGTAGGGCTGGGGTTACACATATGTATAACATTGTGATCTTTTTAGAAAAGAGAGAGAGATGGAAGATGGAGATGCTACAGTCCTTTACCAAGATTCTTATAGAAAAATTCCTTTTTATTATCACAAAGACCATGCTTTCATTTACATGTTGATCAGCTGAGGTTCAATTTGGACAGCCCTGTAAATGGCAGGCAAACTGGGGCCTATAGGAATCTGGAAGGCATAGGCAACAGTTTCAATTACTTCCCATGGATGGTTTAGTTGGTCCTGGAAGTAGCATGGGGCAAGGTGCTATGCACATGAGACAGGAAGTGAATAATTCTGTAGTTATTATATCTTCCTAATTAATTTAAATGTACACAATACACTCACATGGTGTGAACCTGAATATTCCAGGACTGTGATCCCTGGATAGAATTAAGCCTTTCTGGAGTTAGAAAGCTGGCTCTGTCTCTTTAAAGTGTTTTGACATATGTCTTCTGATAGAACATACTTTATAAAAATTTAAGATCCAGAGAAGTCTGTTTCTTTTAAAAAAGTTATTTTTTTGGTGAAGCAAAATGAGGTTGAAAAAGTTGTTCTCAGCAAATGAGAGTTTTACTGAACTGAATCACTAACTCAGCTAGTCATGGGTGGGGGACCAGAGCTTGGATTAACACGTTTACTAGAGAGAAAATTAGTCACATTTGTGCCAAAATAGTCCCAAACAAGAAGCACAAATGAGCCAAATTTGCGACGAAGCAGTGGTCCAGACGCACTACCGAAGCGCTTCACAGGCAGGGATCTGCTTACCAGCACTGCCCTGTGTCTCTGGCCACTCACGGGCTCAGCTGTGTCAGTCCATGGATCTGAACATATACCCATCTCTAGGATGCAATTATCCATCTTGTCTTTGTCTTTTGTAGGATGACATTTCAAAACTTGTATCACAGTGGGAAAAGTAGAATAATTCCTCAGCTCATTTTTTTATATGCATGTGGTATTTATCACGCTTTGCACAGTTAACAGGTTTTCTGTCTGGTAGGTTAGGCCATCGGCCCTCCCAAATTCCTTGTGAAGAAAACATTGTGTTAGTTTCACTGTGGTAAAATGCTGGGCTCATTTTCCTTTTTGCAAATCTGTTTCAAGTTAGAATTAGGTATTGGCAAAATCAGAAAGAAACTATTCTTACTAGATCAATACTCACAAAAGGTGAAAGAAACAGCCCAATAAATGAATATCAATGGGGTTAAACAACCTGCTTGTCTCACATTTGAGGATATAGAGGTAATAAAGAAAAATAGCAATATGGTCAGAAAGTGTGAGTTACGTGCTGAACTGAGGATATACCAGAGATCTCTAAGGAAAAGCAGAATCGTTAAAACAAGACAGAAGCAACCTGTAGTTACTTAGTGAGAAAATACAAAAGGAGCTAAAGTAGACTTTGCCAAAGCAAACAACATTGCCAAGTAGGCTGTCCTCGTAGGTTCACTATAAACATTCAATAAGTACCATCAAATTCATCATTTTTTATAAAATCATTTTGTTATTAATTCATTTGTGTGTTAATTTTCATAAAATTGCCTTTATTTGTGTGCTATTTTCTGTCTATCAAGTGTATATTCTGAAAATATGCAGTCAACATGAGGTGGCATTAAAAACAAGGCCTAACCGCTCAGAAGCAATTCCACCATTTAGATTCCGTCACATACTATGTTACGTAGAAAACAACTATAGAGGAATAGAGAGATAGACACACTCTACAGGGAGCAATTTAATAACAACTATGCTTTGTAGCATCACAGTAAAATATCTCTTAAACTATTTGTTTCTTAGATGTTCAAACATAATAATCTATAATATATACCTTCTAGTTAAATAACTTCTCATTTTCTAATGGATCAAAGTGCTCTGTTATGTCATGATTTAAGTTTTTCATTCTTAAGCGACAATAAGTAATGTCATATGTGTATCTTCACTAGGTATATTGAACGCAGTCTTAAAATATAGCTACTATTGCAATTTCAAGACAATACTCGTAAAGCTTGAGATGAATAATTTGCAATTATAATACTAAAAATAGTAATGTGGGATTGTCTTTGAACTAAAGTAATAGTTGTAAAATCATGGTGGTACTTACCACAGTGAAATTCATAACTTTCAATATCCATATTGTCATGGCTAAGTTAACTATCATGGTAACCAACAGCAGAAGGACAAAGAAGTATAAGCACCTCTTTCGCCAGCCATAAATTCCCACTGGGTACAGTTGTGCATTTTCAGTTCTTGGCAGGTGGTTCTGTTGGGTTGCTAAAATGAATTGTTCTCGTGTCATCTGGAGGGAGAGGGAGAAGGAGAAGAAGGGTGGGAGGGCAAGAGAGGGAGGGAGGGAGAGAGAAGGAGGAGGAAGAGGAGGAGGGACCAAAAGCAAAGAGAGCAGGGAGGAGAGAAGAGTAGAAGGGAGGGGAGGAGGGGGGAGCAAAGAAAGAGGGAAGAAGGCAGGAAAAATAAATGGAGGAGGAAGGGAGAGAGAAAGAGATTAAAAGATAAAATACACACATTTTGTGTAAATCAAAAAGGGTAAGGATCAAACAATAATGGGTATGGAGTGCTAACAATATTATTGTGATTTTATTTTTATTTTTTTATATTAGGGAAGGGTCAACAAAGTGTTCGAGGTCTCACTACTAGATCGGACTCAAGTGATCCACCTGTTTACAGCCTCCCAAGAGCTGGGATTACAGGCATGCGCCACCATGCCCAGTATCAATCGCCATCTCAGTGCACCCCCTGGGGAGGGGTGAGCCGGCAAAGCAGGCCCGGGGAAGCTATTTGGCCAGCCCATATTATTGTTGTATAATTAAAATTTTTCAAACACTCGCACATCGTTGTACTCAATGTTATTCAGGAAAGCTGTCTGAGTTACATCTATAAGCACGTTTCATTTCCAGGCGAGTTTGCCCATCAGAGCAGGAGGCTGCTCTCTCAGCCCCGCCTCAAGGTATCTAACATTCAACAACTCCACCCACATCCAAATTCAAGCAAGCCAAAGCCAAAATGTACCACAAAGTTTTCTCCACCTCTTTCTAAACAGGTAAAATATAAAACATATGTGATTCAATAAAAAAAATCAGTGTACTTGCAACAAACTATGAAAAAAAAGTTTATTTTATCTAGATTTTTATAGATATAGTTATCTAATTAAACATTTTATTCAGCACTTTGTTGATTTACTCTATGAGTGAGAGTACATGTTTTAGAAGAGAAATGAGAACTTATTCTTTCAAATAACACACACACAACTACAAAATTAAAAAAAAAAAAAAACTGTTTCCGGATAGATATTGCCCTGAGTTTGATAAAGCAACAGAGATTCAGTAAACATATCTGCCTCTAACAATTTTGAAAGGCAAATGGGATTACAAAGAAAAGGTTATTGAGAAAGGAAATACTATTATTGAATTGATGCTTTTCATACCACCTCAAGGAATTCAACAGTATTTTCTTAAATGAAGCTGAGTTTAGCATTCTTATTCTATACAACTTCTTTATCAGAAAAAACTGTAGAAATCCAAGGTATTAAAGACAACAGTGTTAATTTTTTTTAGTTTTTATTTATTTTAAAAAATTTGTATCATTGATTTTATGATTGCATTCATCACAGAGTTCTTCATTCATATGACGTCATTTTTCATTTGGCTTCCTGTTCCTAGTCTCACTGATCCTAGTAATTTTGAAGTTCATGCATGATCTCAAGGGCTATCTCAGTGAAGGAGTAGTATCAGAGGAAGTCAAGTCTCATACACCCCTAAGTGGCTAAGGAAATTATTCTAAATGTGTTTGTTCATCTGTTTGTTGTTTATGTGTGTGGGACAGGGACTCACTATGCGGTTTAGTGATCCTCCTGCTGTCAGTCTCCCCAGTGCTGGGATTACAACTGTGCACCACCACACCCAGACACTGTCACCAGCTATGTATGCCCCTGCATGGGCTGGAACATGGGGTGTGGGAGATTGAATCCCAGTCTCTGTACCTGCCTAAGTGCTTAGCCTGCTAAGCTATCTCGCCAGGCCTCAGAAATTATTCTAAATTTGAAATGCTTACAATCTTGGCCTAAAATAGTAAATGTTGATCCATTTTTTAATTATTAACTATATTCTTAAATACTTGGTTTATGGTGTGCTATGTAAATTCTCGAAATACACCTAAATTGTTTAAGTGTTTATAGTTATTGTAAAAGAATTTGGCAAATGTGCAATTACAGAAGTATAGGTTGAATGACCCTAATCTAGAAGGACTGGGACTAGAAATGTTTTAGATATCAGACTTCTTTATTTTTTAGTAATTTCATACAAATAATGAAATAACTTGGAAATTGGCCTCAAGTTTAAACAGTCTTTATTTACCTTCCTCATACACATAGCCTGAAGGGAATCTTGTACTGTATGTCTGCAATTTGAACGTAGGTATCATAGGAAATCAGTTATTCTCTCGGCAGTCAGGTATAATGTTTGGATTTTGGATCACTTAGAATTTCAGAGTTGGGGTCTAGGGAATTTCTCAGAAGGAAAGTATATTTTCTGCCATATACAGAGAGAATCACTGTATTTTGAGACAATATCATCATTCCAAGATGTTTTTCTAACCCATTCCTACTTTTCTCCTTTCATCTATAATTTAAATGCTATTAGAATATTTTTTGAATTATTTGTGTTTTCAAGGTTATATATAATCATTCTTGATACTTAAACTAATTGGAACTTACTTCGTTTTAGTTTTGCCATTCTATTTCATAGCACATTTCATGAGTACAAAATAATCAATAGAACAGAAAACCTTCCAAAACTCAGTCTTAGTAAACACTGAAGCAGCCCTCTATCTTCTTGGAAAACAAAATTAGAGTGCTGCTCACACTAATGTAAGTGGATCTATGTGGTTCAGAGAAGAGCTGTACTAGTTCCCTCCAAGGCCTCACATAGTACATGTGGGGAATTTAGCGGATGGCAGTTTTGAGGTGTGTGTAGCTGATTAAGGATATGATGCTGAAATTAAAAATGTGATGTTGAGATTAAGAGGGTCTAACCTGTTGAGGAGGTGGAACCATCCAAAGGATGGTAGTTTGGATGGAATATAAAAGACAGAGAGAAGGCAGCCTGCTGCTTCTCTTGAATTGCTGTTTGCTGTCATCTGCCTGCCATGAACTGTATCTTCTCCACTATGCCTGTCTGCCATTCCACCCTCCACTGACACCAGCCAATTGAGTACTGAATCCTCTATAGACTGTGAGATACAGTAAACCTTTCCTGTTTTAACTTGGGGTGTCAGGTATGTTGTCACTAGCAACAAACAACAAGAAAAGTGACGGAGACATCCTGGTTTTAATTTGGACCTTGACAGGCCCTGAGAGATAGCTCAATAACACAGTGCCTGCCAGGTAGGTACAAGGTCTGGGTTTGATTCCCAGCACCAAAGTAGTAATAATAAATTTGGACCTTGAACTAGCTTTATCATAAAATAAAGAAGAACAGAAACAAACTAAAACATACTTTTGAAATCCATGCAAAAATATTTGCCAGCAGATAGTAACAAGGATAACCAAAATGTGCATACACAAATAGAGGTTGTTAACTATTCCAAAGTTATTTTTCTTCAAAGATATAGAAAATGTGTATCTAAAATCTAGGTATGTTTCCAGGACATATAGTTATATATTATATAAAAATAAAAAGAAAATTAGTCTGACATGACTTAAACTTGTCTCATCACTAATAATTTAGCTCTGTAAATTCAGGAGAGGTCCCCTGAGACAGGTGGAATGGTAGAAAAATAATTTACATAGGAAGAGACCCTTGACTCTAAAGAGACAACATCCAAAATTACAAGAAAAAGAAATTACTTGAAATGTCCTCTGGTTTCTCTTTTCAGATCATATAAATGCTTCCCCTTTTGCTAATTATTTCAATCCAGTGTACATCATAATTTCAATATTTTAATATGGCTACTCAAGATGGAAATAGTAATGAAACTCTGGGCAGCAGTGCATTTCACTTAATAATTTATCCATGAAGTTACTTCGATATTGTTGTATTCATAAATTTCCCATATTTGGGCAAAACACAATAAACATATAGAAACATAATAAGAGAATGCCTTACACTACTCTGGGAAGGATAAATGCTGTAATATAATAGGCATACTATACAGTGGTACCTTGGTTCATGAAATTAATTTGTCCTACAATTTTGGAGAAGTTGGCCATATTTATGTTTGTGTTGGAAAGACAAGCATGGTGATGCTTGTTATGCAGTGCAAAGCTTATAAGCAAAATACTAGTTTGCCAAATACTTTTGCTAGCACTCAAATTATTTTCACACAAGAACATTCATTAACCAAGGTACTACTGTATGAGCAATAAAGTGTTATTGAAAAAAGCTACAATGATGATAATCTTGGTAAGGAAATGAAAAATCCTTTAAAGATGGTAGAAATAGAATTTCTCTCCATGTAAGTAACACATGAGACTAAACTATTGACTCTTGTAAGAAGAATGGTAAAATGTCTGTCAGCTTTTATAATCCTAATTAGAGTGAGATAAATGCAAAATGAATAAATGCAAAATGCAAATATACACATTCTGGGAGGAGTAAGGAAGAGCTAATAGATGGGCTTGCAGAAAAGTGTATATGTCTAGCATTGTAGTGTTAATCAGAGACCAGTAAAAGACTATATGAATGGCAGGAGAAAGAAGAAAGAAAATTGCCAAGGAACTTTTAATACAGAGTAACACTTGAGGAGACTGGGATCAAGCATGGGTTCTGTGGTGTGAAAACTAAAGATGCTGATGTAAGGTCAGCTGGGCTACTGGAAGTGGAAGTAAGTCAGATGGGTCATAATTATGATCACCCTTGATCTCAGTGGACAGATATGAGCATATGCACAACTAAAAATAGCTGTGATATCGTGAGAGTCTGCAGGCAGGTGGCCTTAGGACAAGATGGTCTGAGAATGGCCTTCTTCTCAGATTCTTTCTTCAAGGTTTCATTATTGCACCACAAACTTGTTCCATTTGGATTTCAATATCTGAGACTTGAAATTAGCAGAAACTTCTTTTCTATGGCCTTTTCATTTCCTGGGAAGCTTGATTATTTTCAAAAGATGGAAGTGGAAAAGGATTTTTAACTCATAAAAAAAGAAGTGGAAAAGGAAGGTATAAATGAATGTTACCAGATGTGTTATTTTCTGGAAGCATATACATAAATGTAAGAGAGATAGGGCTATGTTAACTGTTATGGTTTGGGTCTAGTTGTCCCCCAAAGCCTCATGCAGTCATGGGGA